GCACAGCAAATGAGCGGCAGAGCTGGTAATAAAATCTGGCATTGGGACTCCCAAATCCTTGGCACCATGTTGTGTCACTGCTTAAGACCCATGTGAGTGACAGATAATAAGAAGAATAACACTTACTACCTTCGGATTCTGTGCTAAACACTTGTCAGGCATCGCCCCATTCCTTCCTGAACATGTTGGTGAAAAAGATAAATTAACATTTTTATTTCATAGATGAAGAAGACACTGAGGCCAAGAGATGTTTGTCTGAAGTCACACCACAAGTGACGGAGGTGTCAAAGTCAGACAGCTCATGGAGTCAGGGTTCAAACCTGGGTATGTAAAGAATTACGGCTGAGAGGGAAGGGGGATCCAAGCCTTGTACTGACAGGGCGGATGGCTGCGATCCAGAGGCAGACTATCTGTCCCTCACTGAGTGTGGGGCAGTGTTGGGTTGGTGGAGGAGGAAGCAGGTAAAATTTGACTCCTTTCCAACAAATCAAGAGGTTTATCTCCTCACATTACTATACTTCCTTTAACTGCTTATCAGTCCTAAGAACTGTGATGTCAATCTGTTATCTTAAATTATTATTGTATAGGGACCACTTGACAGACATGCCCAGGGGAAGTAAACCCTCAGCCTCCTTCCTTTGGCTGGGCTTGGTCTCTAACCATCCTTCCTCAAGACTCTGAGCACCCATTGCTACCCTACACTCCTAGCTCTGACTGCTCCCAAGTCCATGAAAACAGGGACCCTGTGGGCATGTCCATTATCACATGCCCAGGACCAGCACAGTGCCCACCACATACATAGTTATCACATGGTGCACATATGCTGAATGAATGAATGAGTGATTCTCTCATGGCCTCATTCCACTCAATCACTATTAATTGGGTAACATTGTATACCAGACACTGTTGATTAGGAGATATGTGAACATGGGACCAGCTTGGAGGAAGTCTCAGTCCAGAGTGGCGGCATACTATAACTGTCAGTACCACCTTAGATACTTCTTAGAATAATGTAGAGAATGAATCAATCAATGAATGAAAAACAACTTATCAGAGCCACCAGAGAGGAAGAAGCCAAGTCCAGAGGGAATACAAGAAAAGGAACCATTGATCTGTCTGGGAAGTTAAAGAAGGCTTTGCTGGTGGAGGACGTAGTGTGATTTCAGCCTTGGAGGATGGGGAGTTTGCTGTAAAGAGAGGTGCAGGAAAGAATCATTTCAAGCAGAGGGACCAGTAGTGAACAAGGGCATGTAGGTGTAAAATTCCTGCTTGAAGCTGGAGCAAGTGACAAGAGATGCCTCTTTGGGACAAGGCCATATATCCTATATTTCCCAGGAGGTGGATGTGGGTGGCCTCAAAATGTGATTGAAGCATTGAATCATAATGAATTGGAGAAAGGAAAAGCTCCTGAAGTTGGCATTATAATTAATAGACTCATCCTGTTAGACTTCATTTCGAGTCATTCTGTGTAGAGACATGTGATTGATTTTCTCAGTAAACCTATTTCTAAAAACACCAAAGGAAATCTAGGGCCCAAGTGCCAATCGCCCCAGGTTTTGGCGGTCGGGAGGGAGCAGGATACCAGCCAGCTTTTATACCATCCTCAGGTAGAGTGCAGGGAGTGTCACCTGGGACACAGCAGAGCCTTCCAGGCCCCTGTTCCAGGACACAGTCCTGCCCCTCCTGGCCAGGTAGCTAGCCTCCCTGTCTCACCCTGTCCTCAGAATTGGAGACAAGAAGCTGGGCGGGCGGCGTGGGGGCTCCTAGGAAGGAGAGAGCCGCCTGAAAACCTGCTGACTCAGGCTCCACCAGGTGCCGCGTAGTGCACAGCCAGGGAGGCCCCAGTCTTCAGTGTTTGCCCCTGCTGTCAGCCCATTTCCTGCTCAGATTTGGGAATTTTCTGGCCTAAGGGGAAAGTCCCTTGAGAGGAATGTTAGAAAGAGAGAGAGAGCACCGGATCCGCCTAGAGAGCGCGGAAGGAAAGGGAAGCTCTGTCCGCAGCGGGCGCGCGGCGGTGGAGGGCGTGTAACTTTCCCGAAGGCTTCGGAGTTGAGCACAGAAGAGGCGACTGGAGGACAAGCGGGGAAGCCCAGCCCGAGGGTGGGGGTGGGGAGGCGGCTCAGTGGGCCCCTGGAGTGTGTGTGTTGTGCGTGTGTGTGTGTGTGTGTGTGTGTGTGCCTGGCGCCCCGCCAACGTAATTTCCCATAAACCACATGCCTAAGTCGCTTAAAAGGCTGTGCCGAGGAGCTGGCCGGCGGAGCCGGTTGGGGAAAGTGAAAGTTCGGTGCTCTCTGTGCGGCCGCCGGCTCTCCGAACTCCGGGAATAGCGGCGCGGCCCTCGGCGGGGCGCGGACTCCGCGGCGGCCAGAGAGCGAGCGAGCGAGCGAGCGAGGGCGGCCGACGCGCCCGGCCGGGACTCAGCTGCCCGTATGACCGCGCGCGGCGCCGCCGGGCGCTGCCCTCCCACGGTAAGCGGCGGTGCAGCGCGGGGCCGGGCTGGGGCTGGAGCTCCGCGGCCGCACGGCCCCTTGGCCCCGGCTGCCCGCGTGCGCCCCGGCTGCAGAGGCGCCCCGGCGGCCCGGCTGCAGAGGCGCCCCGGCGGCCCGGCTGCAGAGGCGCCCCGGCGGCCCCGGCTGCAGAGGCTCCCCGGCGGCCCGGCTGCAGAGGCGCCCCGGCGGCCCCGGCTGCAGAGGCTCCGGTCGCCTTCCTACCTTTGCATGCGGGCTGCCCCGCGGCCCCACGCGCCGGTGCCGAGACCCGGCGCGGCCCTGCAGCTGCTCCGGGGGCTGCGGCGCCTCCCTGGGAAAGGGAAGGCTGCTCACCCCACTGCACGGAGGAATACACTGAGCTACCCGCTGGCAGGAGAGAGGGGTTCGCAGCCACGGGCAGGGGCTCCGTGTCAGCCAGGGGCCCCCGCCTCTCTCCCTTCTGACGGACTACCGCCAAGGCACAGGCAGAGGGGCTGTGAGCTGAGTGTGGCGCCTTCCCGGTGGGGCGCCTTCCCCGGCGGTTACCTTCCCGATGGACCCCGCGCATTCTTCCAGGCCCTGCTGGGGAGTGGGCGCTTCTGGATGGAGAAAGTTCAGCGGTTATCAGCTTATAGAACGCCAGGGCTGTGCCAAGGAACTGCTGGCAGAAAGAAGGAGCCGGGCAAGCCGCTACTTGTTCCAGTTCACAGATAGAGCTGTTGGGGACTTGGGTGTCTGGGTCAAGTCTGTTTTGGGGGAATCGGACCCCAGAGTTGTCTGAGGCTAGTAGCTCCGAATCCTTGTTATGCAAACTCAGTTCGTTGGGGAGATCTTGGGCTTGGTGGTGGTAGAGGAAGGTGGGAAGAGGTTTGGTTTTGGGGAACTATGGACAGGGACCGGGGGCTGCTCAGGACTTCATGGGGACAGTCCTGCCCCCCGCTGCAGCCGTAGCTGCCACAGCTCCCAGAAAGTGCAGGGTGGCATTGTTAAGGAAGAGTAAGTGGTCTCCCAGTGGGTTTGCTTCTGAGGAGCCCTGGAGGAGAGTGGGAGAAACCTGGGAGAAGAGAAGCAGGGAAGAATGTTTGGAGGGTCAGTGAGGGGGTTGCAGGTGGGTGAGGGGAGGGCAGAGCAGATCCACTGTGAGAGAGAGGAGATAGGGCCGGGGAGGGAAATGGAGGGCAGCTGATAGACAGCAAGACCAAGACAAGGGGCTGGAGGTGAGACCACGAGGAAAGAGGTGGAAAGTAAAGGGGGCTGGTTTCATTTAAAATTATTTTATTTCATTTTATGTATTTATTTATTTATTTAGTTAGTTAGTTAAATCCTCATCAAAGGGTATATTCTTATTGATTTTAGAGGGAGGTAAGGGGGAAAGAGAGACAGAAAAACATGGATGTGGGAAAGAAACATCAGTTGCCTCCCGTACACACCCTGACCAGGACTGGGATCGAACCTGAAACCTTTTGGTGTATGGGATGATGCTCCAACCGAGTCACCTGGCCCAGGCAGGGGGCTAGTTTTAAACAGCACAGCCTGAGGGTCCGCTTATGCCAAGGTCTCTGCAGGGACTTTGTGGATGGGGAAAATATAACATGATGGGAGGCAGGTGAGGATATACAGCTGGGCAGAGACGTCCCAGCATCTCTCTGAGCCCTCAGCAGAGACTCCTTCCTGGGTGCCCCAGAGGCCTAGGCTGGTGGGTGGGAGGAAGAAAGGAAGGGGGAGAAGAGGCAGCCCTGCCAGATGCAAGCTAGAGTGTTAACCCTTGCGTGCCCATCCCGATCCTCCTCTGAGGCAATATTGGAGCTCCAGGGGCAGACTTGGCCCCCTTCGGCCTTCTTCAAAGTCCGCCTCCCACGTGGTGGCTGCACTCTGACACCTACGCCTGAAATAGCTCCAAAAGCCAGGCAGCCCTTGAGGTTAAGCTTTGCCCTCCCTTTGCAAGTCCTCAAACATCATTATTTTGAAGTGCCTGGGACAAGATGTCTTCCTGAGCATCCCCTACCCCTGGGTCTTTTCCTCCATACTACTCACACCAGGCCCTCAGAGGCAGCCACACTGAGACAGATACATCTTCTGCGTAGCTGTTTCCCCCAGTGGGTCCTGAACCAGAGGTTCCTGAGGACCGGGACAATCATTCCCACCCAGGGTTCCCTCTTCGCTGCCCACCAGAGCCAGAGGTGCCCCCCACACCATGACTCTCCTCTCTCTTTCACATGCTCCCTCCCCTAAGTCAGGCCAGGACCCTCACCACATCCTGTGCTGAATGGGATTGGGCCATGCTGTGCAGTCCCTTCAGGTCCTCCCTTCTCTCTCGGCCATCAATTTCTCCCCATCTTTCCAGGCCCCTCCTCCCTGCAAACTCCATGGTAGCCCAGCCAAGGCCTCCTTCTTCCTGGTAAGAGCTGGCAAACAAACATTTAAGCTTTTAGTTATGTGTAAATCAGCTGTTTCATAGCCTCCCTGAGCTTTTCCAATGCACTATTTATTTGCAGTATTTGTCTCATCTGGATTACTGAGGTAGAGCCCAGAGCCCAGGGAAGTGCCAGCCCTCATCCCACCCTGACATCCTTTCTCTGAATCTGGGGGCATCAGCTGCCAGGAGGTGACTTCTAGCTGGGGAAAGAATGCCCAAGGGTTTTTCTCTCTACCTCTGGCTGAAGAAGGGGATACTTAGGGCCAGGGAGAGGGCTGAGAGGAAGGAAGGGGAATGACAGGGTGTCAGTAGCCAGACCCATCACTCCAGGGGTGAGCAGCTTCTGCGCCAGGTGAGTGCTGAAAGACAGGAGAGATCTCAGAAAGCGTCCTGGCCATCTTAAGAGCTGGCTGGCTGGCTGTGCAGCCTGATGGGGCTCTGATAGGCAGGTGCCAACCGGGATGGCCGAGAGCTGACACTGCTGCTGCCTCTGATTAATTTTGACAAACACACACCCTGGGCTCCAAAGGTCCCTAGCATGGGATATGTCCCCAGTGAAACTGAGTTTGGGCCCCTGGTTTTTCCAGTAGCAGAGCCAGACCTGTGTGGAACCAGGTGGGAGGAAGGGCTGGGCCCAAGGGAAATGTCTCTGGCTCAAAGTCTGGAAGCCAGTGCATAAACATGAATTTGAGAGGAATGGGCAGCTCACAAGAAGACTGGCTCAGTGTTTGATGTTGCAAGAACAGAAAAATGGGTAGAAGCAAGTTCTGCACTCAGGGAATTGTCTGTGTAACTGGAATTTAGACTGGTAGCATATCTTCCATGTCCTCATTACAGTTCAACGTGTAGTAAGGCTTGGCCTGGGTTAATCTGGGAGGGCTTCTTGGAGAAGATGACATTTGGGTTGTCATGGAGGGAGAGCAAGGTTGTGCTGTGGCTGTTAGGCAATCCTGAGAAAGCTGGATTTGGGGAACACTGCATCCTGGAGTGAGGGGCAGAGCCTGTAGCCTTGTCGGTATGAGGGCATGGGAGTTTCTGGGGAGGAAGAGCGGAGGAGAAATGATGCTCTCTCTATCACAGACATGGCTGGGCCCCCGGTTACTGCTGGTCTGTCTCCTGGTGAGCAGGAGTATTACCGAGGAGGAGTCGAAGCACTGTAGCCACATGATTGGGGACGGACACTTGCAGCTCCTGCAGCAGCTGGTGAGTGTGTGGCCAAGCCTATCCTACCTTCTCCCCACTGAGGAAACTGAGTTGGGAGCCAAAGAGCAGGGTCAAAGAGAGGGGTGGCAGGCAGAGAAATAGGACAGTGCAGGACATGGCTCCACTGATGCTCCCCTCATTGACCATCTCAAGGTCAGGCCCTCTAACTCCCCTGCAGGCAGGGGACAGGGTGGGCTTCCAGCTAGTTGCCTAGGGGAATGATTGCCTGGAATGTCAACTGGGGATTCTGAAAAGTCTCCTGGAGCCTGCTGTCTGTCCCTCAATGGGATGCTTCCTCTGCGGAGCCAGCCCAGTCTGCCTGCTGTGTCCAGATGTTGTCTCTAGCTCCTGGACTCCCAAACGTGACTGCAGCCTGGCACCATGTCTTCAGCCAGATTTAAAGCAGAGGCTCCCCCGAACTCCCAGCCCTCTGCCTTCATAGCTCTGGCTCTTGCCCAAGCCCTATGGCTAGGATGGCCTGTTGGCCCTGACCATGAAGGAGCCTGTGACTCTGATCGGACCAGCAGAGCCGTCGACAATTCTGAGCGTGGTTCAGCCAAGCAGAATCAAGTTGCTGTCATGGCTGCTGTCCTGCTCAGAAGAGATTTTACCATCCCTCTGGCCAGCCAGGCAGGGTGGGGCACCATTGGTGAAGGCCACCTGCAGGGCCCTGAGCTTGTCCAAGCCTATAGGCTGGGTGTCCTGCCTCTCTAACCCCTACACTTTTCCTCCTGCATGTAGTTGCCACAGAAACCCAGGGGCCACTCTCTGAGGCTTAGAATCACAGAGGCACCTCTCTTGGGGGGCCAACAGGGGCTTTTAGGACATTTAAATTCAGCTCCCGCAGATCCTGAATCCCTGGAACTTGTCTAGCCTCTGCTTGAATTCCTGCCATGACAGGGAGTTCACTACCTCCCACAGGAGACATGTCCTGTTTTTTCTATTAAATAGTTCTTCCCTGTAACAAGCTGGCAGCTGGCAGATTTCATGGGGTGGGTGGTAGAAGGAAGAGACTTCTTATCCTTCTACAGCCCTCCCTGGGGCATGTGAGAGGCACCGGTCTTTCCCTGTTTGTCTTTCCAGGTGTGGTTGGGGGAAGGTGAATGAGGATCAAACCCTGATCCACCCAGGACTCTAGTCCCCTTGCTAGGCACGCTCAGCCAAGCTGCGGACACCCTGCTACCACTGGCCCGCTCTCTCTTACAGATTGACAGTCAGATGGAGACCTCGTGCAAAATTCCCTTTGTGTTTGTAGCCCAGGACCAGCTGGTGAGTTATGGTCATTTACAAGGCCCAGCTGGGATACACTTCTCAGGGTGGGTATATGTGGGCGCGTGAAGGCTGGAGAAACCCTAGAGCTGGGCAAGGTGAGGTATGAGGATCCCTGGGTGCTTAAGTCTGGGGTGCCAGGTTCCAGGGCTGGGCAGGGTGAGGGGCTAAAGTCCCCTGCTGCTACCGGCTCCTAGCCTGGCACATGGCAAGGCCAGGCGCTTTGCTAATGTAATCCTGATGGAACCACTGTGTGGTACACTTGTCTTGCTTATTATACCCAGAGAGATTAAGGGAGCATAGCTAGTAAGTGGTGGAGCTCTGATTTGAACTCAGGCAGGCTGGCTCTAGGGCCTAAGGCAACCAATACTTCTGGGTCACATGCTTTGTTTACGGAGGTCACCTCCACCCAGCAGACAGACCAGCAGCCAGACGATCAGTCCAGCCCTTTCCCTCTTCCTCCTTCCCCACCCCTAACCAGACACCCAGGGATGCTAGTTCGGCCTCCCCATAAGTTGCTTGGACAATTTCAAGAGCTTCCCAAAGGTTCTTGCTGCTGCCAGTGCACCCCTTATCCTGCCACTAAGGGGAGCTCTTGGAACCCTAACCTGCTATGTCCTCTTCCCTCCCCAAACCTGTCAGGGGCCCCCCTCACTCCCTGGAACTTGTCTAGCCTCTGCTTGAATTCCTGCCATGACAGGGAGTTCACTACCTCCCACAGGAGACATGTCCTGTTTTTTCTATTAAATAGTTCTTCCCTGTAACAAGCTAGGTTGCTTAGCCTGGGGCTTACAAGCACCAGTCTCTACCACACAGTCCTACCCACTACCCCCATTTCCTGTTCCTTCCTGCCCCTAAGTTTTGCACAAGCCTGTAATGCCAACGCCCCCTGCCCCAGCCCTTATCCCAAGTTTGTTCATCTCTGTGCCTCATCCAAAGTCGCCCTGAAGCTCAGAAGTTGTTCCTATCTCTAAATTTCTTTACACCTGACCCATACATACTTCTGTTAGATCTGGAGACCACCTCCCACTCTAAAGAATGCCCTCTGGGTTTCATTCATTTAGTGCTAGGAATACAGAGCTAAAGCGGAATCTCTATTGAGACAACTACCATCCTTCAGGGAGATTAAACACTGAGGTTATTCCTTGGACCATGAGGCATCTCCAGGACCTCTGTGGCCTGGAGGATTAGAAGGAAGCATGTGGTAAATGACTTTATGTAAAAGCAAGCCAAAAGAGAGACAGAGAGAGAAGTTCCCCAGAACCCACCCTTCTTATGCTCCTTCAGAAATCCAAAGCTCTCTCTAATCCACATTTCCCTCCCTGTGCCCCTGTGCCCACAGTGCCAAGTCCCAAAGAGAGAATGAAAGGCGAGCTGAGGGCAGCATCCTCCTTAGCACGCATGGTGCGGCCTCTTCCCATGCACCCCGGTCAGGGAGCAGGGCAGGCTGCAGCCCACCATCTGCTGGGGTGGGCACCTCAGGCGCACAGCTGGAGTTCCTGGGCCACATCAGCCAGACCATCAACTCCAGGTTCTCTTTTTTCAGAAAGACCCCGTGTGTTATATTAAGAAAGCATTCTTCTTGGTGCAAGACATAATGGAGGAGACCATAAGCTTCAAAGACAACACCTCCAATGCCATTGCCCTCGTGAAGCTCCAGGAACTCTCCGTGAGGCTGAAGGACTGCTTCCCCAAGATCTATGAAGAGCAGGACAAGGTAGGGGGTCCTGGAGCCGGGAACCCTGAGTCTAGGCAGGGCTCACTCACACTCTCATCCATTTCTTCATCCCACAAACCTTTGCTGAGGACTTACCGTGCAGGTGGCGCAGTGCTAGGCCTTGACAATTTCTTCATGAGCGAGACCTGGCTCCAGACCTCATGGAGCTTGTAGTTAAGTGAGATTGGAGCCATTATACAAACAATCACACAAGCAAACAGAATTACAAACCATAAGGCCCCTCCCTTCATTCCACAAATAGTAAACGAGTGCCAACTGTGTACCACGAACTGTTCTAGACACTAGGGGACAAAGGACAGGCAAAAAGTCCCACATCCACGGAGCTGACATTTGGAGGCGGTGAGACAGTTCACAGACTGTAGATCAACTGTGTGGTATGTCGGATGGTGGGAGCTGTCTGCAGAAGAGAAAACCAGGGACAGGAAGACCCGAAGGAGGTGAGGGCGGAGCCGTGAAGGGGCCCCGTCTGAGAGGAGAGACGGGGACTCCAATTTAAAAGAAGGTGGGAAGGAAGAGACAGGGAAGCCTTCTGAGTAAGAAAATAATCATTGGAGGCCCAATGATGGATAAGTTAGGAAGTAATAAGGCTGGTCAGAGCATTCCAGAACCAAGACTGCTCTGCACGAAGCATTCGTGGTGAGCCGGAGCGTGCACATTCAGGACCCAAAGGGTGGGCAGCATGGCCAAGGCATGCCGGTGAAGGGTAGAGAGGAGAGGAGGTGGGAGCCAGGTCACCTGGTCCTAGCGATGTGAAATTTGGTCTAAGGAGTGAGACAGCCATGGTGAGCAGGCCAGCAACCTGACCTAACTTTTGTGGTGAGACTGTTCTGGTTGCTGTGCAGAGAATGGACCGTGGGAGCAGGTTTGGAGGCTGGGAGACCAGCAGGAAGCCCCAGCCAGAGACTAGATTTGGCCACGTGAAGGTCAGTGCAGGTGGATGGTGCCAGATCAGGGTGAACAGAGAGGAGGTGGAGACAACACTGTGGAGGAACTCGGCTCCGAAGGACGCAAAGAGAGAGGTCGCTGGAGGGACTGTGGGATTGAGGGAGGAAACCTTTTTAAATAAGAAAGCCCTGGACACTAGATGACCTAATTTCCCGTGGGGACGTCTGGGGAGGGATTCGGGGCTCCCCAGGAGAGAAGACATAACTTCTATGGACACAGGTGGGCATCGGGACCTTCTGTCTGATGCGCTCTGTCTTCTCCATGAAGAAAGGCAGGAGAGCCAGTGCAGCTCTTTCTACAACAGCCTGGGGGAGGCTGGCAGGGACCGTTGTTTTGACTTTCTTTACAGATGAGGAAATGGGACCAAACTGGATAGTCCATTTGGCCAGCGTCACTTAGCTAGTGAGCTATGGAACTGAGCCCAGGTCTTCTCACGCCCACATCCTTTCATCGTGCATCTGGTCAACCCTGATTAAGAGCCTACTGTGCACAGGCCATGGGCATGCAGTGATGCCTACAGCTTCACAGCCTTGTAAAGTTCTTCCCTGTGCAGCTCAGTGAGGGAAAGCTTCGTCTCTGAAAGTCATCAGCAAGTAGGTTAGAGATGAGCCATAGGTGTGCATGGCACCCTGTGGTGTGTGTGACACATGAGGCGGGCCCAGGACAGACCCCTGAGGAATGCCAGCATTTAGAAATCAGGTGGATGCCCTGGCCGGTTTGGCTCAGCGGTTAGAGCGTCGGCCTGCGGTCCTGGGAGACACGGGTTCGGTTCCCGCTAAGGGCACGTACCTCGGCTGCAGTTTGTCCCCGGCTCTGGTCAGTCGTGCGGGTGGCAGCCACTCGATGTGTCCCTTCACGTCGATGTTTCTCTCTCTCTGTTCCTCTCTCTTCCTCCTACTCTACCTGAACAAAAAATGGAAAAATGTCCTCGGGTAAGGATAAAAAAAAGAAATCAGGTGGAGGAGGGGAGTTTGGTCTAGACACTGAGAAGGAGCTGCCCAAAATGGATAAGTTAGGAAGTAATAACTTATTGGGAGGGAAGCCAGGAGTGTGTGTGAGGTTTCTCAGAGCTCCAGTGGGTGTGGGAAGCCTGGGTCCCCTGAGCAGAAGAGAAAAGACAGAGCCCTCACCCTACCTTGACAGAGAGGGCTCCTTCCAAGACACACCAAAACCAGGGAAGAACTCACAGCCCCGTGGCCTCTCCACACTGTAGCACCACCCACCCACCTCCCCCATAACCCCTCAGATGTGTTCTCTTTGCTCTGTGGATAAGGTTAACTGTTCTTGACATGGCCAACAAGGACTTACAGGCCGGCCCTTGCTGACCTCTCTCAGTTGCATCTCTCACCACACTCCCCCTGGATGGCAGAACTGTAGCCATTCTAGCCCTCTTTTAGTCTTTCAACAGTTCAGGCTCTTTCCTGCCTCCGGACCTTTGCACCGTCTGTTCCCACGCCTAGACAGCTCTCTCCAACTCTGCTTCCTTTCCAGATTAACTTCTGCTCATCTTTTAGTTGGTTCTTAGGGCCATTCCCCCTTGTTACACACTCTCAGATCATTCAGTACCCCTTCGCAGGAGTCGCTGCACTTGTAACAATGGCTTTCGTGCCTGCGCCTTGCGGGACTCAGTGTCCAGCTCGGCCAGGGGCCACCTCTCTTGTTCATTGCATGATTCTCAGTCCTTACCATACGCCTGACATATATTTGTGAGTAAACGTGGCCTCAGGACTGCTTCTGCCGCAAACCAGGGGAGAAGGGAGGGAGAAAATGAAAGAGAAAAGGGAGGCAGATGTGAGAAAGGCCAGAGGGAGTTAGACAGACAAGCTGGAGACATGGGGAGACCTGTTCTCACACAGGGGGACCTGCTCTCCTTCCAGGCCTGTGTCCAAAATTTCTCTGAGTCACCCCTCTGGTTGCTGGAGAAGATCAAGAATGTCTTTAATGAAACAAAGAATCTCCTTAAAAAGGACCAGGACATTTTCAGCAAGAACTGCAGCGACAGCTTTGCTAAATGCTCCATCCCAGGTAAGCACCAAAGGGACCAGCAAGTATGAGGCGGGGAGAGGGCGTGTGGAACAGAGCAGGGATTGGGAGGTAGGACATGGGGCTGGAGGGACCCCCGGGAGTCAGCCTGGCTGCTACTCGTGCTCCTGTGTCTGTAGCTGTGCTTGTTTTGTGTACATATGTGGCTTCGTGTACCTCTGGGTAGTCCTTGGCACATGTCTCTTCTGACATGTGTGCGCACGCCTACACGTGTCTGCATGTCAAGGCACCGATAAGGGTCGTGCTGGTGGCTGTGCGATTAGGGAGCGGGAGAGGGGCCCCGCCCGGAGAGCCCTGTGGGCATGGAGGCTTCCCGGCTCTGCAGGCTGGCCAAAAGCGAGGGGGGGTCCGTGGAGAGAGCAGAGGCTCCATCTGGGAGTCAGGGCCCTAGCTCCAGGAATCCTGCTGCGAATCCCCAGGATACCCTGGCTCCAGAAGTCCTCAGGATGCCTTGAGTGTCCCCTCAAGGGACAGGCTGGATTTGAAGTCTGAGCATCATTCAAACTCTCCCAGTGCTGGCACCGGCTGCACACGTGCACCCTCCGTGTCCTCGTCTCCGCGTCCTGTGTCACATGTGCCCTCCTCCATGCAACCTTGCTCCCTGAGGCAGGGACTGAAGCCCTGCCACCTGCCAATAGCCACGTCCAGTCTCCTTGTTTGAATCCCAAGGCCTCAAGCCGTGGCCACAGTCCAGCCCCAGCCTATTCCCACCTGTTGGCTATGGCCCTCGCTGTGCATGAAATCACCTTGGTGCTTCCAGCCAACACTGTGTCTTTGGGGCTTGAGGGTGTCTTGTGTTAGTCGTTGAGTCCACTGCTCAGCCTCCCGGCCTGCGCTCAGCCCTGGCTTGGTGTCCGGCCGGCTGGAACACCAGGAAAGGCTGCGTTCTGGTCTTCCCGGCCCACGACCCCTGCTGTGCCTTTAAACCCTGCTTTGTTCTCTGCCCATAAGACCCTGCACTTTGCACCTTCCCTGCCTGCGCCAGTGACCCAGCTCCAGTCCTGTCCTGTCCTGTCCTGTCCTGTCCTCAGCCCCAGGGCTGAGTTAGGGGGTGCGGGGACCCCCAGACCCACAGCCCCTCTCCAGTCTTTCGGTAACGCTGTGCTGGAGGCTCGTGACTCTATCTCCTCCCGTCTTTCTCTCTCCTCTGTGGTTCTTTCAGATGTGGTGACCAAGCCTGATTGCAACTGCCTGTACCCCAAAGCCGCCCCTAGTGACCTGGCCTCTGTCTCCCCTCAGCAGCCCCTTGCCCCCTCCATGGCCCCTATGGCTGGCTTGACCTGGGCTGACTCTGAGGGGACAGAGGGCAGCTCCCTCTTGCCCAGTGAGCAGCCCCTTCGCACAGTGGACCTGGGCAATGCCAAGCAGCGACCACCCAGGAGCACCTGCCAGAGCTTTGAGTCACCAGAGACCCCGGGCATCAAGGAAAGCCCCACTGGAGGCTTACCTCAGCCCCTCCCCTCTGTGGGAGCCCCCGTCTTCGGGATGGAGGACATTCTTGACTCTGCATTGAGCACTGACTGGGCCCTAGAAGAGGCCTCTGGAGAAGCCAGTGAGGATCCTGTACCTCGAGGGTCAGAGCCTCCTTCCTCCAGGCTGGGAGGAGGCAGTGTCCAGGCAGAGGCCACCAGACCCAGCGACCTCATCTCAGCATCTCCACTCCCTAGATCGGCCAAGGGCCAGCCCCCAGCAGATGGAACTGGCATCCCCCTGCCCAAGGTGGGCCTTGTGAGACCCACTGGCCAGGCCCGAAGTCACACACCTGAGAAGACAGACCGTCCATCTGTGTCACCCAGAGACCATCAGGAGCCAGGCTCTGCCAGGACCCTGTCACTGCACCCAAGAGGCCTCATCCGTCTCTCCACGCTCTCTGCTCAGCCAAGGCTTCCCAGCAGCCACGCCTGGGGCGACATGCTGCCCCTGGGGGAGCTGCAGGGCAGGAGGAGCACCAGGGAACGGAGGAGCTCTGCCAGGCTGGAAGGAGGACGAGCAAGTGAGGGGGCGGCCTTGCCCCGCGCGCATTTTAACTCCGTTCCTTTGACTGACGCAGGCCAGGTGCAGCAGTCCTCTGACCCCCAGCCCCGCAGCTTTGTCTTCCGCCTGCTGGTGCCTGGCGTCATCCTGGTCCTGCTGGCCGTCGGAGGCCTGCTGTTCTACAGGTGGAGGCGGCGGGTAAGAAGAGCCCCTTGATGGAGAGGCAGGCCCCTCCTGGGGACAGTGGCACAACCGGGTGGAGGAGCAGGTCCAGCTGGTGGCAGGCTGGCTGGGGTTCAGCCTGAGCTCTTCAGACGCTCAGAGACAGGAGGCTGACTGAGCACAGAGGTGGGGAGGTTGAAATGGAGGGTTTCTTCACAACTGGGGAGGGCTGAGGCTAGAAGGTCAACCAGAAGGGAGCAGCAGGGAGTAGGAGAGAATATTCCCGGGCCAGAAGCAGGTGGGAGGAGAGTGATGCTGTGGGCGCCAGGGCAGGGTGTTCCCTGGAGCTCTGCAGAGCCTGGGGCCAGGGGACCCTAGGACAGGAGATAACCTGCATGGGCGGAGGAGACAAGGCACTAGCGGGAGGCCTCAGGAAGCTCCCTTGGCCCTGTGGCTGATCCCCACTTCTGGGCAGCTGGCGCAGACTTTGGTAACTCTCTCATCGACTGCCCGGACAGCCCTGCCTGGGGATGGGGCCATGGTACCCCAGCTTCCCCAGCTCCTCAGTGAGCCTGCTCTTTTCTGCCCCCAGAGCCATCGAGAGTCTCAGACAGTGGATTCTCCCATGGAGCGACCAGAGGGCAGGTGAGAGTTTGGGCTGGGGTGGCTCTGTAAGCACAGGGACCTGTGTTGGCATCTATTTCCCCTCTAGATTTGGGGGAGACTTTCTGCCACCTGCTCTGAGGCAGTGGAGCTCGGAACAGGATGGGGGGTGGAGAGGAGGGAGGGTCTCTTCTGTCCTAGATAGCTGGGATTTTTCCTGACTTCTTCAGAGGGTTAGGCAGTTCTGGGTCTCCTAAACCTGAGAGGGATAGAGCACATGTGCGGGGTGGGGGCCAACTTAGGGGTTTCCTCACTGCCCAGCCTCCGCTGGAGTCTGATGCCAGCCCTGTGCTCGTCCCACAGCCCCCTGACCCAGGATGAGGACAGACAGGTGGAAATGCCAGTGTAGAGGGAATTCTAAGGTAAGACTCTAGTTTGGATTTCTCTCTACCCCTTAAAATAAGCTACATCCTTTTCCAGTCACCCTAACTGGGTGATACCACCCGCTCCCCGGAGGCCCACACCTGTAACTCGCACCTCTCTCTTCTTCCCGGCCATCGGCCATCGCCAGGACTGGCCGGCCCTCCCCTTTCCGGTCCTCAGGGCCCCCTTCCCCTCCGCCCTGTCTGAGCCGCGCACTGTTCCCTCTGTGGTGGGTTATCATTGCTGCCTTGCGCTTCTCGTCTTGCTGCCACCACCCACACCAGAGCCTCCAGATCCTCTTGTGTGAGGCCTTATCCTCCCGGAGAATTTCCGTAGCTGTGCATTGCCAACCACTTCAGACCTGCCTTCTCCGCTCGGCTCCCAAGCTCCTCCAGCAGCTACTGCCCCACATATCTCGTTGGCCAGTTTGCTCTCTGCTTGCACTGTGGTCCCACCCTCCCCCCAGCCAAGATGATTCCTGCCTCCCTGCTTTTAGATTCATGGAACCATAGAACCTTAGTCTTGGAAGGGCTCTCAGAGGTCATTTGCCCACTGTCCCACCCCAAAGGGGCCTCCCCGCTCTGCCTCCCTGACCGGGAGTCAGAGTGTCCGATCATGCGGTCTGAGGGCCAGGCGAGCTGCTGGTCATTCCCAACAGCACTACGAGGAAGTTATTCCTCATGTGAAGCCTAACTGGCTTTTCTGCCATCCCCCACCCCCACGATTGTCCCCCCTCCTACGGTCATGAGAGTCCTCCCATATCTGAAGTCAGGTATCCATGTCCCCTTTAAGAATTCTCTAAGCTAAGTGTGACCAAGTCCCTCAAACATTCCTTATATGATATGGTTTTCAGACCCCTCACCATCCTGGTCGCCCTCCTTTGGACACACTCGTTTGTCAATGTCCCTCTGAAAATGTGGCGCCCAGCCCTGGACACAGTGCTCCAGACGTTGTCTGACCAGCTCAGAGTACAGTGGGACTGTTACCTTCCTTGATCTGGACAGTATTCTGCTATTTGTACAGATTAAGATTGCATTAGTTTTCTGTGTTTTTAACAGCTGCATCATACTGTTGTCATATATTTAGCTTGTGATCTATTAAAACCCCTAGTTCCCTTTCCCATAAACCTCTGTCAAGCCAGACCTCTGTCCTGTACTTGGACAGCTTAATTGTTTTAACCAAAGAGCAGGAATTTATATCCATCCTTGTTAAAATCACCCCGTTGGTTTCTGCCCATCACCCGAGCCTACTGAAGTTGTTTTCCATCCTAATGCTGTCTTCCTGGCCCTCCCAGTGTGCCTCCTGCACATTGATGGGTGCTTTCTGTTGCCCTCGCCCACACTGTTGATAAAGATGTGACCCTCATTACCCCGTGCCTCTGGCTCTGGGGCCAGCGGCCGTCCTCTTCCTCCCTCCCCTCCACCCACAACTAGCCACAGGAAGTCTTCCTTCCTGCTCTCTCCACCACCCTCCTTTCGTTCATACCCCTCTGCTCTCTTGTTTTCGGTTAATACTGTATGAATTTGCACTTACCTGGATGTTGTTTTTATACATTTTCAATTCTTACTTTATGTGTACGTGTACATTTCGCACCCCTAAGAAGTCTGTAAGCCCCTTGAGGGCAGGGACCATGTCTTCCATTTTTTGGCATTTATTTTTCTATCCCGGGTTCTAATACAAAGAGGGCTTCTCTGCACTTGCCAAAAACTCAATAAACGCTGACCGACCGGCTTCAGGGCTGACAAGAGCGATCGATTCAGGCCAGCTGTCTCTAACTGACCAGCCTCTGGCTAACCGGTCAGCCAGCTACCTAACTGATTCTGGCTGACCAGTTGACTAGCTAGTAACCGCCTGACTGGTTAGTTGTTGGTGGGGAGCTGATTGGCAAACTGAGGAGCAGGCTGAGTGCTGAGGGTTTCCAGTCACACCCCTGCCAAATGCAAGCCGGCACCTTAGGGCCATCCCAGGTGTGGGGTGACAGGTCTGGGCCACTCTTAGGAGAAAGGGGATCTGACAGATGTTCTAAACCAGGGGAGCCTATTCAGAAAAGAGCAAAAATAAAACATCTGGAATCCTGGGGTCTACCTTGTGGGTACAAGAGAGTGGGTCAGACAGGACACTGGCAGGGTGGCCGCTGGGCCAGGCACTAGGAGTCTCAGGGAGATTCAAGGCCAACCCCAGACTAATTGTCACTCTGACAAGAGAGGTGGGAGAGGGGCCCCCAGAGAGAAAAAACAACACCAGCTCCTCCAGTCTGGGGAACCAGGAGACAGGGCCACAGGCCGGAGCTCGCCCACTTGGTCCGTCTCGCCTCCTGGCCCCAGCAGTGCCTGTGGCCCAGCTGTACCCAGCGTGGCTCATGTCCAGTTTATGGTTCCCTTCCTCTCCCTCCAGAGCATGGGAATGGGCTGGGAGCCAGAGACTGTGGTCCCATCTTTCCCCTTGCCCATCACAGGCTTGGCCAGTAGGGCCTATGGACGGTCAGGAGGGGAGCTCCGCACTGGGTCCAAAGTCAAACTGCTGGCCAGAGTCCAGGGGATTTCTGGTCTGAGAACAAAGCGTTCTGAGGATGCCGGGCAAGGGGACAAGGATGGGGGTGGGGTGGGGAGAGAGCAGGGCCCTGACTCCCAGGGAAGATGCAGGGAGGCCAATCCGGAAGGAAGGCTATTTAGGGGTGAGCATGCCAATTGATAGGGAGGGGTTTCCTTATCTGGGAACTACCTTTAGTTCTTCCTCTTTGATTACCTCTGCTCTGCTGTCACCAATATTGTGTGTGGCGACCTCTGTGATGATTGGTGTAGAGGTGGGAGCGAGAATTATCTTCTTTGCCAGGGTTAGTGGGATTCACCCTCGGCTCATTGGACCAAGGCTAGCGAGATGGTCTTGCCTGCGGAGGGGTCTAAGGACACACAAGTGCACCCTTCCCTCCCTGTCAAACCCCTCTGCTTAAGCAATGCCCCCCACCCCTGCTCAGACCTCCATCAGGCCCTGTTACCTCCCTCTGTGGTCCCTGGTTCCCCAGGAGGAGGTAGGAGGTGAGGGCAGTCTGGCCAGCGGCTTGGAGTGCTGCCAGAGAAAGCTGCCTGGTTCTTTGCGGTGTCTGGGGTGGCTGGGAGGACGAGAGAAAGGACGGGAGGAAGTCTGCCTGCAGCACCACCAACAGCCCACAGAAACGCTCCCCCCCCCCCCCCCCCCGTGTCCTCAGCGACCCCTCCCTCCACCCCCACTCAGCTGACGGGCCTTTCTTTCTCTCCTCTGCAGGTGGGCGCACAGGACAGTCTCTCCATGGCAGGAGACGCCATGGGGGCATCCACCCCTCCTCCTCAGCCATTCTCCTGGGCATATGGCCTGCCCACCATGAGAGCTCTTGCCTGCCAGGACTAGGCCAGAGAAGCCAGGCTGGGGTCCGTCCACCCTTGACCCCCAGGGTCTGGACTGACTCAGAGGGGGCCAAAGGACGCCCCCCATGCTGCTGATATTTATCGTGGGCCCTGGAGGCTCCCATCCGCTTGAGGGAGGCTGGCAAGCCCGGCTGAAGACCCTCCGGCCCTCAGGGGCTGTGCTCTTCTCCCGCTCCCTTCCAACCAGCACTTGGGCCGGGGACCCCGAGGCACGTGGATGTGGACGACAGGGTGGGCACTGAGGAGTGGAAGAGCCCTTGTGCCCAGAGGACCTGTCTGGTGCCAAGGGATGGACCCCTGCCCCAACGAGCAGGCACTTGTCGCAGAGAGCGATGCATGAGATTTGCAAGGCGGGATAGCATCGGCGGGGCTTCCTGGAAGGTGTGCGGCCCAGGAGACAGGAAGAGAAGGCCTGGGCTGCACTGACCGCCGCCCCGCTCGGCAGTCCTTGCTGCGTGCCGGGCGGAGAGGGGAGGCCAGCCCTGCCTCAGGACCTGCTTGGCTCGTGATGCCAAGGCGAAGACCAAGTCTGGCCTCTGCCCTGCTGCCCCCCCAGCACCTGCCAGAGCTTCTCCGGGAGGCCACACAGGGGCTCCCCTCACAAGGGAAGCCATTGCACTGTGAAGACTGGACCTGCCTGCTGCCCAGCCTGCCCAGCCGTCCGTGGACGTGGTCTGTTGGTCCTCCTGCCCTCCAGCCTCTCCCCAGCTTCTGCACTGAGTGCTCGAGCCGGCCTCGCCTGTCGACTGAGGGACCCTGAGCCCTGACCTTCTGCTGATCCGACCTGTGACTCCCTGGGGTGGATCGGGGCAGAGAACTGCCTGGGCTACCAGCCAGAGCAGGTCTTTAGGCTGTTTCATTGGACCAGGTTTCTGCATTTTGCACTTTGAAGTTCCCAAGAGGGAAGTGACTAGTGGGAGGGAGGGAGGGTGGGAAGGGCAGAGACAGACACAGGGAGGGTCTTTGAATTATGGGTATGCCCCTGAGGTTGGGGAAGGTGTCCCCACCCCTACCCCAGTAGCAGACCCCTGCCACAACCACCGCTGCAAGGCCGTTGCCCGCAGGCACCTGGGGTTGGGTGGATTGTCCCTGTTAAGAGCCTGGTAGGCAGTGATACCTCCAGCTCTCACCCTCACCCACCCACCCACGACCACTATCTCTCTGACCAGGCAAGCCAGGGTGGGAGAGGGACCAGGCATCTGCCTCCAAGTGTGCCTTGAGGGCCTCAGCTTCCTGGGCCAGCCCATGAGGCTGCGGTTCCAGAACTGGCAGCAGGTGACAGAGCTGTCAATTGACCTTGGTCCCTATGTGCTGCTGTGTCTCTCCTCTCCTGCTGCCTGGGCCCTCCACGGGGACCTCGCCCTATCTGGCTACTGGGCAGGGCCCACCACCTTCCCTCCCTACCCTTGACAGTGAAGGTCCCCTGCCCCACCTCCCCTGCCCGCTGCCCACAGCCGAAGGAAGACACAGAGAATTTCCGCAGGGGGCTCCTCCTTCTAGTCACAGACTATATTTGATGCTAAAAAGTATGTATTTAAAAGTGGAAGGGAAAAAAAACAAAACAAAACAGAAAAAAGGCATTCCTTCTCCATCCCCACCCCTTAAACATATAGTATTTTCCAAGTCAAGAAAGCAAAGAGCTTCTGCAATACTTGGATTTGCTTTCTTGACCCAGGTACGGGAGGGCCCAGAGCCACTCTGGGTGGCTCCCCGGCCACCTGCACAGGAACCCCTTCTCTGAGAAAGCCGAGGGGGAACATTGGCTCACACACTGTGAGAGTTTGTTTTTACACTTGGAAGTGGTGAATTATTTTATATAAAGTCATTTAAATATCTATTTAAGAAATAGGAAGCTGCTTATATATTTAATAATAAAAGAAGTGCACAAGCTGCCACGTGTGAGTCCTGAGAAAAGTCGTTTTGGGGTGTGGGTGGCAAAAATGGGAGTGGGTGGGCATCAGCTGTTGGGTGAGACCTCGTTCGGAAAGCCTTTTCCATACGGGGGATGGAACGTCCTCCCGGTTCCAGCCTTGTCACCAGAACCCCGCATCCGTGCTTCCCAAAGACCCTCATCACACACTTTTAAAGACATCTCAAGTGATTCAAATGTGATCTGGAGTGAGGCACATAGAGCTCAGGTAGTGGCTATTTTAAGTTTAATTAAAATGAAATCAGTGAACATTCAGCTCCTCAGTCGCACTGGCCACATTTCACAGGTTCCGTAGCACAGAAGCAGAACATTTGCATCATCAAGGAACTCCTATTGGACAGTGCTGCCCAAAACATTGGGTCCCTGCACTTAGGTGACCAAGGTTAAATGACAAGGACTGGCACTCAGCAAACTGGGCCAGGATCTAATTTCCCAGGTGTCTCAGTCATCCCTCCTTGTGCCCATGACCCCCACTACCACCCTGTCCTCATGATTTCCCTTAAGATAGCTCTTCCCTTTTTATCAAAAGCACCTCAGGAAAGAAACTTACTCATGTCCTTTCTTTCAAGGCCCAACTTAAAAGTTGCCTCCTCTAAGAAGCTTTTGCAGCTGGACCCAGGCCCCGAGTCCGTGTGTCTGTCTGTCGCACCAGGCTGAACTGTGGCAGGAACTCTCCTGCTCGGCGCCTTGCCCTCCAGGGTCTGAGAGTGTCTGGCACACAGTAAGCACTCAGTAAAAGATTGATACAGTCCTGAATGCATGAACAGGAGCGTAGTGATGCAAATTCTGATCAGATTTAATTGGTCTTTTCCAGGGCCTTACTGGTATTAGCCGGTGGCATATATGTTGATTAACTATAACTCATTAGCCAAGCAGAGAAGGTATTGTCAGCAGAAGGGTTTCCCCACTTCTGATGGAGATGGGGCTAGGTTAAAACCCTGACTGATCATGGGCTGTGGGTGGAATGTATGTTTCAAGGCCTTTAAGCAAGGATTGGCAGAACAAACAAAAAAACTCCAAACCAAATAAACCCTGCCACTCCTCTGCCTTTCCAGAAGTCCCAGGAGGTATCCAGAAACAGAGGCCAGAGGATGTCGGCAAGCCTTTCCTGGGCTTCACACCACGGGCTGCTTGAGAAGTGTCCTGTGTACAGAACAACGGTCACTCTGGACTCAGAGCAGAGGACTGGGAAGCTGGCTTGGATCCCTTACTGCTTAGCCATGTACACTTGGCAGGTGTTTAACCTCTGGTCCTCAGGTTTCTCATCTGTAGAACTACTTTAAGGACATAGGCAGGTACACCTGGTCTGAGGCTTAAATTAAGGCAGGCACTCCAAAGGTCTGCCCCCCAATTAAGTACGTTCTGGTGTTGCCCCACCAGTGGGTCTCACGGTGCCCGGACCCAACACAGCCCCCTCTGGGCAGGCACTGGGTTCCAGGATGATACCAGGCTGTTCTCGGTGGCAGGTGGCAGAGCTGGGTGCTTCCTGCTGGAGTAAGGATTCGGATGCTTCAGGGATTTCTGGCTGGAGGGGGGCCAGGGGGGAAAGTGGCCCTGGGATGGGTTGGGTGCCCATTAACAGGCAGGGTCAGAAACTCTGGTTTCAAGTATGTAAGCAGAAGGGCCCAGCCAAACCCCAAACTGTTTCCGGCCAGAGAAAGGAAAGTGAATCAGAGGAGACCAGGAAAAAGCCTGAGGTTAACCTCATGCAGACAGTGGGCCACGGTAAGGAAGAGGTTGATGGGTGTCTGACGACCCCTTGAACAAGACGTGAGAGTCACTGGAGTGTGGGCAGTGACCAGGCAGCCCCGAGGCCCGGTCAGCTGCTGGGCAGCTGGGGAAAGAGCTCACGTTTCCTCACTCCGGTGAAGTGCCCTCTGCTAGGGCAGCATTTTTGTCCCCTGGTTTTCCGCTCCAGTTTCTGGCAAGAGGGTTGAGCAGGCTCTGCCGCCCTGGAGGCTGGGACTGCTGAGGGAGCAAGATGGACCATGCCGGCCTGGAAAGCCCCGTGGCAAAGTGACCGGCCACAGAGAGGCTCGCTCCCAGGGCTCTGCAGGGGCTGGGGCCCGTCCCAGGTTTAGGACACAGGAAAGCCCACACCGATAAGCCGCTGTCGGCAGGCACCTGGGCTGAGCAGGTTGTCCCTGTTAGGAGCCCAGGAAAGAGTCTGTATACCATCAGAATTAAACTGATGTTCATTTAATTGATTGTTATCACTTAAGATGCTAATGGTAATCCCCAGGGCAACCGTAAAGAAAATAGATAATACATAATAAAAGAAATGACATGGGAATTAAAATGATATATCTGAGTATTTTTCTTTGAAAGCCTCACTGTCCAGTTGTCAGTGAAACACTGGGGAGCCCTAACTACCTGAGGAGTGGAGGGTGCTTATTCTCCTTGCCCCCTGACCTCTTGTACCACCCATCCCTTAAGATAAAATGCCCAATGTTCCTTAGTTTTCCAAGCACTTTATCAAATAAGACCATGTTTCCTCTTCACAACGACACTGTGAAGCAGGCTTTATAATATCAGTGCTATAAGTGAACTCTCTGAGGTTCAGAGAGGTTGGGTAAATAGCCCAAAGACACACAGACAGTAAGAGTGAAAGGTGGGACTAAAATGAGGTCTGTCTTATTCAAGTAACGGCTCCTTCCTCCATAGTTCAGCTCAGCACTTGGCCACCAAGATGCTGGCTTCCTTGTCCTTTGTTCCTTTTTCTAAAATATCAAACATGAACCAAAGTAAAGAGATAGTAAAAGGGACCTCCATGGACCCATCACTCAGCTTCCACAGTTATGGCCAATTTCAACCCTTCTATATCCCCACACACTATCCCCTGCCCGCCCCCCATTATTTTGAAGCAAATCTCAAATATATCCTTTCAAATGTGAATTTTTCAATAGGTCTTTAAAAGGTAAGGATCTGTTTTTTAAATATAACCACAAATATATTATCACTTCTGAAAAATCAGTGATTTCTTAATATTATCAAGTATCTAAGTTAGTGTTTCAATTTCTGTCTCAAATAGTTTTTTAGAGTTTGTTTGAATATGGACCCAAATATTATGCATACATTGCAATTGGTAGTTTTCCTCTATATATTCCCCCTCCCCTCTCGTTCCTCCCAACCCCAAGCAATTTATCTGGTGGAAAAAAAAAAAAAAGTTCATTTGTGCTGTATCGTTTCCCAGAATGTGGATTTTTTCTGCTTGCAGGGCCATAGTGTCACTAATGTGTCCTTTGTCATCGTGTTACTAGGTGTCTTCTGTTCCTGTATGGGAAGTTAAATCTGAAGACTCGACCAGATGCAGGTTCGGTTTTTGACAGGCATTCTCTGTGGGTGCTGTTGTGTACTTAGATCAGGAAGTTTGTCGGGCTGATTGTTTCCTTTGTCCTCACGACATTTTATCTGTAAAACTTGGAAACAGTTTAAAAGTCTGATACTGGGGAATGATAGTTCATTGTTACAGTGAAATTTTATGCAGTCATTAATAATTGTTTTCAAAACATATTGAGTGATATGGGGAAGGCTTATCACATAATGTTAAGAAAACAGGAAGGAATAAAAAATTTATGGTATGCCATATATCTATACAGAGGGAAAAGATGAAAAGAAACCACTAATTGCAAGAAAAATAATTATGCTGACTTCCGGTAAAGATGGTGGTGCAGGTAAACGCGGTATCTCCTCTTCCCACAACCACATCAGTTACAACTGAACTACAGAACAACCATCATTCTAAACCTCCTGAATCGAGCTGAACGGAAGTCCTACAACTACGGAATTAAAGCAGCAGCCACATCCAGACTGGTAGGAGGGGCGGAGGGGACGGGCTGGTCCCACACCCACGTGTGACAGATAAAAATCAGGAGGACACCTCGGCTGGGAAGGTCCTCCCTGAGGACTGAGGGGTCCCTGTCCCACACCAGGTGCCCCGCTCAGGGTTCCAGTGCCAGG